GGTTTGATCCGTGCCACCGAAACCCGTGCCATTCCGAGCCAACCCATACAATTACAGTACATTTTTCTTATAGGGTAGTGTTTAAATCGATCTTGATGGACTAATTAAAAATAACGGTTGAAATTTTACGTATAAGAAACGCCAACTTATCGCTAAAGCTAACAACTAGTGATGGGCAAATCGCGGGATTCGCGGGATAGAGTAGAGTTTTGAGTTCACGCGAATAATAAAAATATACAATATATAAAGATCATTGTGAATATAATTTTTTGTAAAAATAATAATTATTTCTTATAAATCTTACTACATTTATTATAAATAAAAAATGCTTATATAGATTTTGCCTACTTTAAAACATGTATAGAAATTTCTTATACAATTTAAGCTTAAAGTAATTGAATCTTATAATTATTAAATTTATCCATTTAGATTCGCCTTAATTTTATAAATTTTAAATTTTATGTTAAAAATTAAATTAACTAATTAATAATACTGTATAATAATATTTAATAAGATAAAAATTAAGTATAAAATACTGTAATATACTTACTAATTAGAAGTTGGCCCACTTATGTTAATGCAGGCCGGATGATATATTTACGCAGTCCAGATAATGTGCTAGCGCAGGCCAGATTATCTTATATTAAAAATCCCGCGCGGGATTTTTTGAATCCTGCGCATCATACGCGGGATCACGCGCGGATCCCACGCGTTGCCCATCACTACTAACAACCATAACGTCCTAATCCTAACCTTCTATTTTTACGCACTTGGTTTATTTACAAAATTTGATTTCCTTTTTTTGGGGTCCTTAATGCGGCAGATCACGTGAAATTCCGTTTTCATTAACTTTAGGGCCTTGGGTTAGGGTTAGAGGAGTTTCTATAGGAAAAATTACCTCTCCGGCATCTTTTGTTAATGCTCCAAGGTGGGCTTAGACTGCAGCTTCTTCTATTTTTCGCATATTTCTCTTTTTTCGCTTGTTTTGCTTCGCCGGGCTGATCCGGGATCATCAAATTTAACAATTTGATTGGTTAATTATAACGTAATCTGCCCCGCTTTAAGGGCGTTTGTGTTACCCGCGCAAATTGTGGCGGCAGTGGCGTTGCTCTTTCATATTATAGTGCGGCCGAATTTTTGCATCACCGTTATTATAAATCAATTCTGCTGGTTTCGTCATATTTAATATAGTAAATTATAATGGGAGTTTCAAAAATAAAGGATTTCAGAAATAAGCAGGTGCCTAAAGAATCGAATTTGCGAATAAATGGAGTATTTGGAGATTCTCGTTTCATGCAATAAAGAGCGTTCTCAAAACATTCAAATTAGTCAATCAGGCTCTTATTAACTTCATTGAGGAAAATGATTGAGATTACCAAAATTTAGGTTTCATTTGTGTACGTAATAGTAGTTATGTAATTATATCATAGACATAAATAGATAGATACATTTGGATCTTAAATTGAAAATAAATAAGGTTTTTAAAATAATTTATTTCAAGAAACAAATATGTAATCTATTTTACTAAACTGGAATCCGATTATTATATCTTCCCAAGATGGCAAACAAAAAAACCTTGGCCGCAAACGTTTAAAGTTCACTATGTTAGACATTAATGATAGCTTATGCAAATTGAACAGTATCATTAAACTAGTCCTAATGCAACTCTAACAATTGCATTATCTATAAAATTCTATTTTTGTTGTCTATGCTGGGAGAGTTGATTACTATATCAAGATTAATGAATTATATTGTATGTCAATAAACGGAAACTTCATTTATGCTAATTGCTAAAGGCAAGGATAATGTTACTGAATTTAGAGGTATATAACTAGAAAAATAAGGTCCAAACGCACATAAAATTTTCTTATAATATCAAATAAAATATGTGATCATATGAGTGCGCTTTAAGCTGAATTATTACATGCTATTCCTCGGTCAATAATGTCCTTCACAAAGCGACGGAATCAGTGAACATAATATTACCACGGTTATAACCCATAAGAGCGACATGTGCAAAGCAATTATCATAAATAATATGTAGAAACGGCATACCTAATAATCATATTTTAGAAGCACCAATTACGCTATAAAAAATAGCTGATCGTTATGCTGTTTTGTTTTACAAAAAAACAATCCTTTTCTTTTTCTTTTGTCAAACTAATGCAAATACCAGCAAGTATGAAATCTCTAACAAAATAAATTAGATACAAGTATTAAGCCCATCAACATTATCCATCAAAAATAGATGTCATTGTTCAAAAAAAATTTCAAGCCACAATTTAGCGTAGATACCATCTAAATCCGGAAATCTAAAATGGAGCCAGATTTACGTACTGTACTACATACGTACATCACCGACACTTATGAACCATAAAAGGATATTTGATAAAAATTTCTTAAGAATAAAAAATCGGATCTGCAATAGTACAATCCGAAAATATTTTAAAGTAAATTCACTTATTGTTAAACTTACGCAGGTATTCGCAAAATTTTAAATTATTGTGCCCATAAATAAAAACACATCTTGAATCTTATTATCTGATATATATTAGCGTTGGCTTAAATTGTTGTTATTTAAACAACCAAATAAAGTAGAAATTTATATCAAGAAGAATGAGCCTTATTATTATAAATATAAATATTATGGCTTTCAACAAAAAATTCAACAAAAATTCAAGAATATGACAAAATTTGATAACCTCCCCGATGAAATTAAAATCTTTATTTTTAAATATGTTACAAATCCTAAAACTCTAGCATTATGCTGTAAAGTTTGGTCAGCCATTGCTAGAGATAATCAAGCAAGAGCAGAATGGATTATTTATAAATATGGTCGCGCACATGCACTTTTTCACGCAATTAGATTAGGTCCATCATTTATTAATCTTTCTGTTGCGCAAGCTATCATTGCAAGACATGGAATTCTTTCAAGATACATGATACAAAAACTTTTTATGAATTACGGTAGCTACGATCAAACATTAATCGAATTCAAAATCGCAAATAATATTGGTCAAATTGATGCAGAACGGATCAGGTCGTTACAAGATGGCCCTTGGGCGAACGATTTACAAATTCCAGTCTTTACATATTTACTAAATGAAGTAACAAATCAATTAAAAACTCAAGATATTTGCGCAAAAAGTAATGATATGGAACTTTTCCATTTTCTCACTGCTGGTCCCCATGTAATAAGTGATGCTCCAAAAATTCTAGAAAAAAATCTTGATGCTATCAAAGATTTGATAATAAACAAGAAATTTATCCCATTTCCACCAAGACCTTCTAGAAAATTTCACTTACCCGAAGAATATCCATCTAAAGATGGTTATGAAAATAATCGGCAACTTAATGTGGTTGCACGTGCAATTCTAATTCGCAAAGATTTGGTTAATTTTTGGAAAAACATTGGTTATGAAATCTGTGATGATGTAAATAATCTTGTAATGCAAGGTGCCCTTCTTATCCTTTTCCCACCTACTCCTATGGCTGATTGGATTCAGCCAGATACTAAAGTCGTCAAAGAACGACTTATGGAACTAATAAATCTTGGCTTTCGGTTGAACAATGGCGTCATTTGCGACATTCTTTACCTATTTGAGCGTAAATTAGACAAGATCGGTGAAACATTAGTAGAATCCTTTATGTTCGTCAATAAAGAATCACGCGAAAATTTCGTACATCACTGCCTGATCGAATCTCTAAATCCTGGGCGTAATTTAAATAAATTTTACATTTGGGATTTTCTCCATACATTATTAAAGGACACTTCGGAAAACGCATTCAATAAAGCATTAGATAATTATTTAAAAAATGATGCAAACATCATAGCTACATCCGAACATTATACAAATATTCTTGTCAAGCAACTTTCATTACCATTAAAATTCTACGAATGGGTTCTTATAAATTTTGGTGTGGATTCTCAAATTACAGTGCGCTGCTTCGAAGATATTCTAGGGGTACGTGCTAGTATCGATTTACAACTCCAAGAAACTCCTAATATAGAGATCCCTATTGGAATGAATAAGCACAAATTTCATGCAACTTGTAATATTTTTAAAATTTATTGTAATGCTAAGAACTTTTACAAACCATCACATTTAAATATAATTTCGCAATGTACCAGTACAGAAATTCTAGCACCATTATTTAAACATTATTTACCAGCATTATTTAATTTACAAATTACTTTCGAATTACCGATGCAGATTATTGAGATCATAAATAGTACAGATAATCATTATCAGAGTACATTTTCAAAACTTAATGCTAAAATAAATAGAGATAGATATATATTAGAAGAGTGGAATCAAACGTTACATAATGCATATTTGAACAATATAAACAATTCAACAAATGCATTTCAAAATTACCTTCGTGAATTTATAGAGCTTTGTTAATTATACAACCCGTGAGTCGATACGTAAGGATGATGCTGAAGTTGGCTGATGCTGAAATTTTTACTTATTTTATTATGAAATTTTAAAAATTCTTGGACCTTTATTAGTGTTTTTTTTAGGATAAGTGTTGTTAGTAAAAAAAGTATATGTGAATTTTAGTAGGTATTATAGATTTAAATGACCCTAAATTTCAGCATCAGCCAATTTCAGCATCAGCCGCGACAATTATTTCAATCGCAAGGTTACTTGTTTGAATCATAATGGAGGACGGCAGTTGTGTCAGGATCATGAAAATCAACCACAAAACCCGCTAAAGATGTACTTTATAGACTAGCATTGCAAACTTATTTAAATTAAATAAATTAATTTACGAAAAAATATTATTATTACTGGTTGACTCACGATCATCCGAATTTCCGCAGTAAAACTTCGGGTAACCATGTATTAGAATTTATATATTACGGACACTCGAATTTTTGACCATCCGAAGTTTTATACTAATTTGTATTAAACTTCGGATGATCAATGACCGTGATATGTAAATTCTAATACACGGACATCCGAATTTTGATCATCCGAAGATTTACACGAATTTGTATAAAACTTCGGATAATCAAAAATTCGGATGACCCCGTGATATATAAATTATAACACATGGACATCCGAATTTTTGATAATCCGAAAATTCGAATGCCCGTGATACGTAAATTCTATTATTATTGCTCAATCAGATGGCTTTATTTAAACAACTGAACAATTTTATTTAACAAAGCTGGAAAACATATGGGAATAGGGGTTCGCTACCTTTTGTGGCTCTAATATACATAACCAAATTCACAACTACAAAGACATA